GGCGTGACAAATTGTTTCATGCGGGTTAGTCGCTAACAATTAAAAGGGATCAGACGATTGTGTAAGGGACAAACCTCTTGAGACAAAATCCCAAAAAGGGGTCTTCTTTTATTGGCGATGACTTTACAATTGGAAATCGAAAACAAAGTGCCTCCAAGGGGCGTAAGCACACGAGTTACTGAAAAAAGTGTTTAAGTCTAAGCTAAGGAAATTAAAATTATATGTTCTTTGTTCGAGAGTTTTTGATTCGGTCCTTTTCTTTATGTCTTTTCTCCCTTTTATATTTCATGGACGATCTCTTTGTGATCAACCGCCTAAAAACTACTTGATCGTTCTGCAACTGCCCACTTTCCTCATAATGGCCAGCTTGTCATGAAAACTGCCTTATTTAACTGCTGCCATTACTCTTCGTCGTTCAACCGTTTTCGATTGAATTCCTTGAATCGTGGAACGTGATGGGGCTGCTTTAATAACTGCTTTGATAACCGCACTTCTTGATAACCACAACGCTTTATGTTTGTTAAGACTTTGGGCGACTTGAAGGTTTTGGCGAGAATAGAGTAATAGCTCTGGGCGACTGCATGGCACTCCATTCGCTCAAATTCTGGGCGACTTGCAATCTTGGGCGATGGCGTTACCACGTTCTTGGGCCTCCCTATTTGGGCCTTCATCTTGAATTGTTTGATTGGGCTTCGTTCTTTGGGCTATCTGATTTGGGGATTCTCCAATTGGGCTTCATTTCTTGGGCCGTTCGATTTGGGCTGAATTTTTATGTGTCAACAGGTGTTATTTCTCATTTATAGCTTTTACATTTGCGAAAGCAATACATTATACATATTTGCATCAAATAGTTTCCTAATTTTGTGTTTCTTCTTTTGTAGCAAGCTTGGATGTGCTGTCCCCAGTAGTTTTGAAAAGTGCGGACGTGTAGCCTGAAGGAAAAGATTGAATATACTTCCCTTTCCCTCGCAAGTGCCTCATCTCACTACTTGTTGCCTTGTCGGCAAAAGACTGAAATGGAATATTGTTGCGTTGTCTACAAATTAGTTAATTATTGTTGTACTTTTTGAATTGTTGCCTTGTCGATTTAATGAACTGCTGCTATTGTTATTGGCTTTGAATTTTAGCCCAAGCGCCCAAAATTCCTGGATCCATCCCTGCTTGTGCACTTATTGAGAAGCCATCTTTCTTGAGCGAAAACTGAGATCCTATCTCAAGAAAATATGTATTTATTTTTTTTTTGAGCCACAAATTGCAACTACCCACCACCTTGCATTCCCCCCTTCGTCTTGCAATCTTGCATATGAAGACATCTTTTGAAAGATCATCAATTTTCGAGGTAAAGAAATTTATGCCCCGTTTGGTACCCATTTTTTTTAAAATTCATTTTTATCCCTCTTCTTTTCAATCACACATTCTTTATTAAAATAATATTATACGTAAATAAAAAACTTTAAGTTTAGTGTGTGGGATTTTCGCATCAAACGACTTGATTTTTGCAGTTCATTGCTTGTCATTTAATGAGCTGTTACTGAAATTGTTGTATAAAAATTATGCTCATTATTAAGCCCCCATTTGTTTCCAATAAGTGTATTTTATACACCTATTCAAAGCGTTAAAACGATGATATTTAGTTGCTTCTCGAATGAATTATGATCTAAATTATTACATTTTGTATTGAATAGGTAAAATTCAATGACGGTACAAGAAATTGAAGGACGAAGCAAAAGTGGACAAAATTGGAGAAAATGACTAAGTTATAAGATATCCAAAGTTTGGGGACTAAAGTGAAAATACTCCAAAGTTGTGTTGGACCTCATGATGAAGATTTAAGAGTGCTCAGAGTCAATTGGATGAAGAAAGATGTCAAAGGGATCAAATTTAGGCAAAATATGATTATAAATCAATTTCCAACCGAAAAGTTATGCTCTGAAATTTCAGTCTTACATTGAGACCCATTTTTGATATAGCAAACAATCGAACTGGAGAATGATGTCAAAAGCAAATTTGTAGTCCTTTAAGTTATCTTTTCAACGCATCCTGAATTGCCTTAATTGGACATCGGGAGAGAAAGTTATGCTAAAAATACTAGAAAAAGTGTGTGCTGTTTGTTCGAAAAGTGGCGCCACTTCAGAGCGCAGCGGTGTCGAGAGATTTAGAGAGGTGGCGCCGCAATCTGTAACCTAAGCGAAATTTCGGCCCATTTTGGAGTTCATATGAAAATCCTATTCTTCATACATGGCAGGGGACCTATAAACACAAAAATTCTCACACTTTAAGGGGTTCTACAGATTCTAGAGGCAAAAACACTTCTTAAAGTAAGGAGGAGAGATTCAAAGGGAGGAGAAAACGCCAAATTCATCGTGTGAAGCATATACTGGAAGAAGGAATTCTTGGTGTAAGATCCACTTTTTCTTCTACATATTCTGATTAAAAATTCGGTGATGGACTATAAGACAATTTGTTGTTACTCTTCTTTTATTATGCGCAACTAAATCCATTGTTAGGGCGAATAATGTAACCCATTTGAGATCCTTTATGTTTTCTTATTAAGATTCTTGGTTTTTAATTTTTCCATGTGTTGATTCTTGCTATGAATTGATTGCATTAAATTATCTGATCATTAATTTGATGAATTTTGTGAATCCTTTACAAATAGAGATATGAGTTTAGGATTTAGACCATGTAGTAAAATTCAGTACATTGGTATAACGTGTAGAGATACATATGTCATTTATTACGGTCATAATTGAATTCATAGAACAAAAACTTGTTTAACTCAGTTAAATTTGTATAGAGATATGAAATTTAATTAGCTGAATAGGCTCAATGAGAACTCGAAAGGGGTAAATTAAATACAATAGGAGAATTCGACCTAGCACTATAATAGAATTGAATCTTAATTTGAGATGTAAAGGTGATCAATAGGTGAAATTATTCTGCCCTAATGTCCTCTAATTATCTGATCATACAAGTTTTTGGTGTGAGCTTTTATTTATTGTCTAGAATTAAGATTTAAATTCTAATCATACAACTTTTAATCTATTTCCATCAAATAGTAGTTAAAGAAAAAAATTGAATTAAGTGTTAGAAAATAATCCTGGTGGGAACGATAATTCGGACTCAAAATGTTCACTTTACTACTTGTTACGATCCGTCCACTTGCGCATAAAATCGACAATAAGTTTTTGGCGCCGTTGTCGGGGACTATTTTTTTTAGTCTTAATTTATTTTTATTTTTAATTGTTATTTGATTTGTTCATTTTCTTTTATTTACATAAAATTGTGTTCATTGTATGCTTCGTGCCCAAGGGAACGATCTTGAACCATTTGATTCGGAGATAGAATGTACCTTCAGACGAAGCCGTGAAAAATACAAACAAAAACAACAACATCAAATGACTGAAAATCAACAAATTCATATCCCCATTCAGCTAATTGGACAAATGACCACAAGAGTGGTGATACCACCGGAACGGCAGCATGAGTGAGGGGAAATAAATGAAGGTGATTTGCTAGTATCAATGTTCCTGACACCTATAGCAGCACCCATGCGCTCGAGTATTGTGTATCCAGATTTTGGAGTGAATAGCTTTCCGATCAAGCCAGATTTGATTAATTTGATGAGCAACACTCTCCAATTCTACGGGTCACCTCATAAAAATCTGAATACTCATATCTCTAGATTTCTCAGGAACTATCAGAACTTCCATGCTCTAGGAGTCAATGAAGATGTTATTAAACTACGATTATTTCCATTTACATTGAGAGATGCTGCATTGGAACGGTTAGGTGCAGAGCTTCATGGGAGCATTACTATATGAGAATAACTGACTAGAAAATTCTGCAAAAAATTCTTCCCACCAGCCAGAGTAGCTAAAATCAGATTGAGAATTCAAACTT